AGAAAACCACTGAGTAATGGATAGAAATATTTCTCCTTCCTTTTTTTACGAGTTCCTGGTGCCCCGTGGTGTGGACGGCAAGCATCTCATGCCTCCAGGGCTTGATGGACTGACGTCCGGGTGGTTTCCAGGCCGCGCTTCACTACAGCACCGCGAGGGTAGACCCTCGAGTATCCTTTTCAGAACCCCATGGCTCTGTCGTGGGACAGACGCCCGGAAGTGTGGTCGCCGGGTCAAAGGGCAGGGCATCTCCAACGTTGCAGGATTGCCAGGCCCTCTCCACGGGGAAGATCAGTGGGCCGTATCTGATGATGTTCCCCGCCTTCGATCGCTGCCGAGTGCTGGGACTTAGCTCATCTGACGGGGAGAAGCAGAATTGCCGTGCACTTTGAGTTCACGTTTCTCATTTGATGAGTGCGTGGGCCCCTTTTAGATCTCCAGTGAGTCCTCTGCATCTCACATCTCCTTTTCTGTGAGTCTGTTCCTGTCTCTTGTTGGCATCTTGCCGACCTCCAAAGGCAGAGGTCCTGGGCGGAGACAAGGACAGGGGCTGACACAAAATGCTGGGCAGAGCGCTGCAGGGTAGGGGGGGGGGGGGCGGCGGCTCCCTGCCCCGGCATCACCTGGCGCTGGTAAAGCGGGCGCTTCTTGGCCCGCCCCAGACAGACTGGCTCAGACAAACCCAAGCCGGAGGCCATCTGCCCTTGGAGTAGGGGAGGCAGGGAAAAGCCCTCCAGACAAGCCGCTTTCAAGGGAGGTGGCCCTTCCCCGGCTCGGTGGCCGGCGCTGCACCTTCACAGCTGACTCTCGGGCAGGGGTGAGCCGCTGCTCTCCGCCCATCTCAATCCTCAGCCTGGGGTCCACAGGCATGGAGCCCCCCCCACCCCCCCACCTGCGCCCCAGCAGCACTGACTGAAAACGGAGCCATCCCCGGGAGGATGGCCGCAGGGAGTGGGGAGGACTCCCCAGGCAGGGCAGGGAGCGCAGGGCCCAGGTCGGCTGTGGGGGTGGGGTGCAGGGAGACCGCAGCCCCAGGCGTGGAACCTGGGGGAGGGGGCAGCCACCAGCCTTGCCTTCAGAGCCGTCTGGGGCTGAGAAAGGGGAAGGTGCCTGGGAGGGCAGAGGAGCACATCAGGGGTCAGCAAGAGCAGGAAGAGGCGGAGACGAACCTGCAGGGTGCCACCACTCACCCCACCCCCGGGTCCCCCAGGGGCCCCTCGAGGAGCCAGCCCAGGAGGAGGGGAGCAGGAGCTGTCGGAGTGAGCAAGCTGTCCCGGGCAGCTGGAGGCCGGCACCTGCCCGGGTCCCCGCTCACCCCCATCCCCCACGCCCCGTGCGTGCAGTGGCCGGCCTGCCGATGGGGCACTTTTGTCATCTTCGAGTGTCCAGATGTCCCGAGGCATCTTCCACCTCGGGGCAAAACAAGCAGAGGTGGCGGGAGGTGCCCCGGGTCCCTGGTCCCTGAGTGTCCAAGGGCACAGGTCGGGGGAGGCTGCCCACCGCTGCTGTTGAAGGGGTGGGGTAGGCAGGAGGACGGGCAGGGAGGGCGGCACCCACTGTGCTCCTCGCTGAGCCTGTGCATCTGTGAGGCTGTGGGGTGGGGGTGGGGGCAGGAGAGCAGCCTGCCTCGACCCCTGGGGACCCTGTGCCCATGCTGCCCAGCCAGGGACAGGCCCTAGGATGTCACCGGCGGGAACAGCCCAGCCAAGGTCAGCAGACCTCAGGACCCCCTCAGGCCCCCCTGAGAACTCTCTCAAGATGCCCTCACATTCCCCAAGTTGCCACAGTGTCCCTTGTGCTGTGGTGCCTTCTCCTGTCTGAGTCCCCTCCTTGCTTGGGCCAAATCTCTGTCCAGGAAGGGCTGTGGACGTGCTGTCTGAGCGCCTGACTTGGCCCTGACCCTCTGTCCCAGGGAGGCCGAGCAGAGGCGCTTCCTGGGCCCAGGGCCAAGGGTTGGGAAAGGGGCTCCAGGGGCAAATGTGGCTGAAGGCAGGGTCTGTCTGGGGCACGGAGGGTTCACAAGGGGACGCCGAGGAGAAACGCAGGGAACAAGACCAGGAGCACCGCGCCGGGCACAGCCAGGGCTGCCCGCCCAGGGCTCCGGGGCGCGCATCCCGGAGGCGGGGCCTCTGTCCGTGGGGTGTCGGCGTGTGCCGACTGGTCATCGGCAGCGCGAGAGGCCGGAGGCCGAGTTGTGTCCTGAGCGCCGGCTGTCCGGCCCAAGGCCCGTAAGGCTGTTCTGCCACCCCAGATGTGCCTGCGGGTCCCTGGGAACAGGGTGGCCGTCCTCCGGTGCCCCCTCACGGCCTGTCCCCGCAGGCCTGGGCCTGGGGTTTTGGCTGGAGGCCGGGGGGGTGGGAGGCTCTTATCCTTGACCTTCCCTGCACCCCGGCCACTTCCTGTGGTACAGGGTGGATGCCAGAGGGATGCAGAGGGAGGGATGTCAAGGGGGCAGTGTGGCCAGGAAGGTGTCACCGCCCCCCCCCCACTTCCTCCCCCTGGGGAGTCGAGGCTGGTTTCTGAATGCCAAGGGAAGACCCCGGGCTGAGGACACTGGGAAAGAAGCAGCCCTCTTAATGGGAGACAGTGCCTGGGGGTGACCTAGGGACAGGCCCATGCGGTTCGAGAGTGTTAGCAAGTGACAGGGTCTCATTTTCCCAGGAGGCAGAGGGACCCTGGCTGCCAAGTGGAGGAGGGGCCCGAGGGGCCTGAGGAGGGGACAGGGCTGGAAGGGTCTGTGAAGAAGAGTGGGGGGGGGGGCCCAAGGCCGGGCCCCCCAGCTGAGGAGGGGAGGGGGACTCGGGTGCGGGGGTGCTGGGGGCAGCTGACCCCTCCCGGGACCCCTCCAGCCCCTTGGCGTCCTCATCTGGCTCTGGGCCAGACCGGGGGAGGGGGAGGAGGTTCCCAGAGACAGTTGCCGGGGACAGGGGAACAGAAAGTGTCAGCGGTGGCAACGGCTTCCGTGCCAGAGGCCTGGCTGGTTCCACCCCCAGGTGCCTGGGGTTAGGCCGGGCAGGGGTGAGGCGCTGGCCTCTGGCACAGCATCCGAGGGGCTGCCGACAACTCGGGCGTGAGGATTAACCATGCTCTGGTGCCACGTTTTCGTACTTGGAGGCTGATGCGCAAACCCACCGAGCAAAGGGTGAGCGCGGCCGGTGAAGGCAGGCTGGGGGGCCTGGCGTGCCTCGGCTTCAGGCTCCAACGTGGGGGGACCGGGAGGTCGTGAAAGACCCACCCGACCCCCAGTGTGGCTTGGAAGGCGGCCCCCTGGCCAGCTTTCGGCTCTGCTTCTCGGGGCTCCGCTCAGGCTCCCCCCGCCCCCCCCCACCCCCGAACCGGAGGAAAGGGCCGTGGCTCCTGCAGACAGTCAAGCCACGCCCCTGCCCGCTGTCCGCCTGAGGCTCCCTTCCTGCTCCTCCTGCAGCTTGCTCCCTCCCTGCCCCTGGCCACCTCCTCCTAGAAGCCTCCGGTCCTGCCCTCTGTGAACCCCCAGGAGTCGGAGGCGATGTGAGTGCAGGGTCCCGCTCCTGGGGCGCCTGCTTCAGCGTTGTGCCCAGCGTGGTGCCCAGGCAGGGCCCAAGCGTGGGTGCAGAAGAGGGAGCAGACCAAGAGTAGACGCTCATTTTAGGTCAGAGTGGACGCACGTTTTGGCTCAGGGAGTCGACCCTGGGCGGCCGCATTGCCCAGTGTCCTCAGGATCCTTTGCCCTCTTCCTAGGTGAGGGTCCTGAATGCCCCCATTCTCAGCACTTGGTTTCCACGTGACCCAGGTGGGCAGGGGCGCGCTTCCCACCCAAGGAGGGAAGCCCCCCGGAGGCAGGGGCTCAGCATTTCCTGGGCCCGCCCCTGGGCCCCATCCAGCAGCCTCCTGTGGAGTGACTCAGACCCCCGGGCTCACTTCCCTTGGAGGCTCCCGGCTCTCAGCAGGGCAGTGACGTGTCATCTTGACATCAGCCGAGTGGCCCTCTTCCCTCCAACCCCAACCATTCGGAGGGGCGAGGGCCAGGAGGAAGGGCAAGAAGGAGCCACCACGCGAGGGTTGCCACGTGGGCTCTGCGCGTGCAAAGCAGGAGCGGGGACTGGGACCCCAGGCAGGGGTGGCGGCCAGGGGGTGCAGGTCCGCTGAGCCCCAGTGCCCCGGCTGGTGGAGGCTCTCAGGGGCTCCGCGGTGGGTCTCGGGGCAGCGAGCGGGGCCTCGCAAGCGCTGCTTTGCGGAGGCCCGTCGCTACGGTTTGAGGCGGCCCGGCAGCCAGAGGACGGGCCTGGTCTGGCATCTGGGGCCTGCCCTGCAAGGTCAGGACTCTTGAACCCGCGGGGTCCAGTGGGGCTTGAGGGGGAAAGGACCCGGCCCCGGCCCCGCACAGGGAGGGAGCTTGGCAGAGGGAAGGTTCCGACGCCCCAGCCCACCCCGGGCAGACGCTTTCTGAGTCGAGGCCACTACTGTTTACAGGATGCCCGTGAGCCAAGAATCCGGCTTCTTCCTCGGCACGCGTCGCCGGCTGGATTCTCCCTTCGAGGCCGCCGCCCACTGGTTAAAACGCTTTAGGGAGGCCTCACTCCACACCAGGCACTGACGTGTCCGACAGCAGGCGGGTCCCAGCCACAGGCAAGAACTGAGTACACGGAAGAGCTCTTCTAATTCATGAGAAATTCTATAAGGAAAACCAGACCGAACGGGGCGCTAGGAAAGGGTGGGGCCCCCAGAGAGGGGCAGAGAGGCGGGGGAGGAGGGGGAGGCAGGCGGGCTCTGGAGGGCTGTGCCTGGGGCTGCTGTGGTGGGGGAGGGGGCCCTGGTCACAGGGGCAGGAGGCCCGGCCCAGCCACTGCCTTCTGGGGGCCTCGGTTGCTGCCTCCGCCAATGAGCAGGGGTGGTGGTGATGGCTCGGCGCAGAGAGGGAAGCCGCAACGGACGAGGAGTCGGGTCCCTGCCACACTGTGCGTGCCGCGCCGGGCTAAGTGGGAGGAAGACGCGAAGGCTCGGCGTGAGCTCAGAGTGGGGAGGTCGCCCCAGGAGGCCCCTGGAGCAGGGCCGCCCCGTGCGCGCAGAGCCACAGGAAGTCGCCTGTCTGGGTTCGCACCGCCGGCCCCGGAGGAGCCTCTGTGCCCACACACGTCGGTGGGTCGCGGCGGGTGTGCCCTGGAGGGTGCCTGCGCGTGTGGCCTTCCCGCCGGGGGATGCTGGCCCTGGGGGCGGGGGACACCGACCTGCAGCCCCGGGGGGCCCTGCCCCGGAAAGGTCCCTCACTCTGCAGGGTGGATGGGTAGAGAGGCTGGGGTCAGAGGAGCGGTCTCGCTCTCTCTCGGGTTGTTTCTAGGACGCCCCGTCTCCGCAGACGTGTCTGGGGAGGCCATGCCACTCCCCACTTCCCTTCCCAGAAACTACCCCGGCAGCCCTGAGCCGGCACAGGTGGCGGTCCCGGCACCTGCGCTCTGTCGTCCGCCAACCCTGCCACCTGCCTGCCTTAAGGTCGGGGGACAGTCGGCCAGGGCTGCCCCCACTTTCCCATCTGGAGCCGGGAAGCTTGGAGGTGAGGGGGTGATGGGGGGGTCTCAGAGGGAGTGAGCGTATGGTGGGGGGAGTCTCAGAGGGGGTGAGGAAATGATGGGGGGGTCTCGGAAGGGGTGGGGTGAGAGGAGGGTCTCGGCGGGCGTGAGGGTATGATGGTCTCAGAGGGCGTGAGGCTGTGGTGGGGTCTCGGAAGCGTGAGGGGGGGAGCTCAGGGGAGCATCCTGCCAGAGGTGCTTTGTGAGGACGATGATCTGGAAGGAGAGCCGCCCTCCGTGTGTGTGGGGGGGCGTCCAGCGTGGGCAACAAATGGAAAGCAACTTGGGGTCTCCTCCAGGGCCGGGACTCGCACCTCATTCGAGACCCTGAAACCCACTTTGTGGGCTGGGACCGGCGCTTGAGAAAGTAGAACAGCAAAGTTTGCGCGCCGTATTCCCGCCGCGGGGATCTTGGCTCCGCGACGCTTCGGTCACCCACGTGCGTCCGTCCTGGATCCTGGAGTATTTCTTGCACAGGGCCCCGGCTCCAGAGGCCTCTACGGTGCTCAGGCCCCAGGGTCTGCACCCCAGTCCCTGCCCCAGGTCCCGCTCAAGGCGTCTGTGGGGCCCCGGGGGCCGTGGGGTGGGCCGGCCTCCCAGACCCGACCCCAGGCCCCTGTCGGGTCATTACAGAGGTGCCTCAGTGCAGAATCCAGGACACCTTTCCACTGGCGTGAGGAGGCAGACTGATGGCGCCATCAGGAAGTTAGCGGTACCCGGGAGGTGCCGCTCCCCTCCCCCCCCACCCCCCAGCAGGAAGCTCCCAGCCCGTGTCACTCAGCGCTCTGCGCTGGCCGTGCGGCAGTGGGGCCACTAGGACACTAGGACAGCGGGGGCCCTGCTCTGGACACAGGTCCCCACGCCAGGGCCAGACACAGGCAGGACGTGCGGTGCCATCGGTGGCTTCCGGACGGCCCCGTGCCACTTGGGCTGGACCCGCGACCTGACTTCCCGGGCTTGTACGGGAGGCGCCCCAAGGACACAGATGCGGGCCCCCCGATCTGGCCAAGTGTTCGGGACCCCACCGGGTACCTTCAAAACCATGCCAAGCCCTGTCTGGGACGGTGAGGAGAGCTCGGGCCACACCGAGGCCAGCCTGTGAGTCATACTCCCAGACACCCAACCGCATGCGGCCCCGGGCATCTCATCCTGCCCCCCCCCCCAAGGTCAGCCGGAAGGGTAGCAACCGTTCACCGCTGCTGGACCCGTCTGGGGTGGGGGGGGGGGGTCCCCACGGCGGCACCGTGACTCTGTGGGGCCTTGAGGTACCTTCCCAGCAGGTTCTGAGGAATCTGGGCTGGTGGGGGGCCTTGACTGAGCCCCCGGGAAGCTCACACATGCTGGGGGGGGGGGGGAGCTGCGGCCGCGAGGGCGGGGCGGGCAAGGAGGAAGGATCCCCGTGGTCAGTGCTGGTGGTGGGCTCGGGGCCTGTGGAGCCCGGCTGGCTTGTGGTCTGAGGGGCCTCAGAACCTGGGTGTCACTCACAGCACAGCGAGAAGAGCAGACTCCTTAAAACCAACAAAAAAAGGAGAGCCCCTCGTCAGGGGCGCGGAGAGCGGAAACCATGGTGAAGGCTCATAACGCTTTGGTTGCTGGCAGGGCCGCCCTTTGAAAATTCCGGAGATAAAATGGGATGATTTGGTGGAGTATTTCTGTTCGAGCTGAAATCTGTGCTCCCGCTTCCCTAAAGGACTGTGGTCTGGAGGTTCCCAGGGGGCTGCGGCTGAGGAAACGAGTCCCCCTCCCTCCCACCCGGCTGCAGGCACTAATGAACCTAATGGTTCTAGATATTTCTTCTCTTCCCGTGTGGGGAGGGCTCAAGGCAGTAGAGCTCGCCCAGGACCCGCCCTTCCTTATCACCCCAAGCGCAGGGAGCACCCCTCCCCCCAGGGCCTGGTGCTCCTGGGGGCGGGGAGGCCACGCCCACCCTGCCCCTCCAGGCCCTTCCAGCGGGGGGGGGGGGGGGGAAGTGAGGTGGGGGCTTGGTAGTGTGTTCCCTGTGCTAGGCACTGGCACACCGGTCACTCACACAAGTGCTCCATGACCCCACATGTGTGACACCAGAACCCCTTTGTGCTCGGGAGGCCAAGGCTCACCCGGCGCTCGGGTGAGTCCGGAGTCCAATCCCTACATCACAGGCCAGGCCCTGTGTGTCAGACCCCTGACCAGGTCCACCCCGGCCCTGGGGGACCGGTCCCAGCCCTCCTGGGCCCTGTCGCGGAGCTTGTCCAAGGGAGGTGTATGGGTGGTGGAGGGTGGTGGAGGGTGAGGCCTTAACAGTGGCCTTGATGGAGCAGGGGACGCCCCAGTGCCACCCGGAGGCCTGTTCTGAACCGTGGGTCCGGACCTCTGACCACAGAGGGCTCAAGGGGCCCTTGCAAGTGGACCCCAGGGCACAGCACTGGGGTGGGAGGGCACTCGGAAGGTGGTGGTGCCCCGGGTGGCACGGGAGGGAGGGGGGACAAGGGTGCTCCGGGGTTTCCTGGGGGGCTGTCCTGAGCTGCAGCCCCGCTGCCTAAACGGCACGTCAGCACCCGGGCAGCCAGAGACTGGGTGGGGGGAGGGGGGAGGGGGCAGGGGATGGCCCTCAGGTCTCTCCTTGGAGCCACCTGAGAGCGGCAAGGGCTGGGGCCAGGCTGGCTGCCCTTCGGGCTCCCTGTCCTGAGAGCTGGCACCGTGGGGGGCCCTCAGGATTTGGGCGCTGGCCAGTGGAGACCGAGCCCCTGAGCCCCTCCCACCTTCCTCGCCATCCAGGAGATCTAGTCCCAGCCCTGGGCTGGCTCGCTGCTGTGTGACCTTGAGCCCCCCTCAGGCCTCTGAAAGCCTCGGTTCCCCGACTCGTCCAGCGGGCAGGGGTGTGGCCTGGAGGGTGCTTCAGAGCCCGTGATGATTTCTAGGATTTTCTTTGGGAAGGTTCGTTTTGGGCGGGGGGGTGGGGGGTGTGTGGCGTGCTCACCTCCTGCATCCCTGGCCAGAGGTGGGCGGGGCCTCGCTGGCCCCAGGGGCGGCCCCCCCCCCCCCCCCCCAGCCCTCCTCATCCCTGCTTCTCTCCTGCAGCCGCAGGACCATGAACGGTACCTGTCACTCCAGTGAGCTCACCTGGCCCTACTGGGTCAAGAACATCGTGGACGCCTACGTGGGCCTGCTGCTGGCGCTGGGGCTGCTGCTCAACGGCCTGGCGCTGTGGGTGTTCTGCTGCCGCCTGCGGCGGTGGACGGAGACGCACATCTACATGGCCAACCTGGCCGTGGCCGACCTCTGCCTGCTCTGCGCCCTGCCCTTCTTCCTGTATTCCCTGAAGCAGAGAACCGAGGACACGCTGTTCTGCCAGCTCTCCCAGGGCGTCTACCTGACGAACAGGTACATGAGCATCAGCCTGGTGACGGCCATCGCCGTGGACCGCTACGTGGCCCTGCGGCACCCGCTGCGCGCCCCCGCCCTCCGCTCCCCGCGGCAGGCCGTGGCCGTGTGCGCGGCGCTCTGGGCGCTGGTGACGGGCTCGCTGGTGCTCCGGTGGGCCCTGGGGGTGCGGGAGGGCGGCTTCTGCTTCCTGAGCGTCTCCCGGCAGAGCTCCAACACCACGGCCTTCTCCCTGCTGGGCTTCTACCTGCCGCTGGCCGTGTTGCTCTTCTGCTCCCTGCAGGTGGTCGCTGCCCTGGGCCAGGGGCCGGCCGCCCACACGGACCAGGCAGAGGCCACCCGGAGGGCCACCCGCATGGTCTGGGCGAACCTGGTTGTGTTCGTGGCCTGCTTCCTGCCCTTACACGTGGTGCTGGCGGTGCGCGTGGCCGCGAGCCGCAGCGCCCCCACCCCGGCCCTCTGCTACGCCCTCTACGTCACCAGCAAGCTCTCAGATGCCAACTGCTGCCTGGACGCCATCTGCTACTACTTCACGGCCAAGGAGTTCCAGGAGGAGGCGTCGGCACTAGCCTCCGTGCCCACTGCCAAGGCCCACAGGAGCCAGGACTCTTTCTCTGTGACCCTGGCCTAGGACGCAAGTCGCGGGCACGCGGGCCGGGTCCCGGGCTCTCCGGGAGGTGCTGCCTGCTGGGGGCGCCCCGGCTCACCGTGGATGGGGGCAGGCTCCAGGGGGCCTGGCAGGGTGGCGACGACCCAGGCACGGACCCCGCGGTGGTGATGCGCCCATCCCCGGGGTGGAAGAGGGTGGGAGGACTGAGCGAGGTCAACCCCTGGGGCCCTGAGATCGGGCCAACACCTGCAGTGCCCAGGGTCTGGTACCCCTGGGGTACTGGGGTGGACGCTTGCTCTGTGCCTGGAGGCCTCGATGGCCAGCTTTCTGCGGCCAACCTACAGCGGTTGGAATAAAGCTGTTCCCCTGACCCTCTCAGGGCTGTGTGTGTGTGTGCGCACATGCGTTTGTGCATTTGGACACGCGTGTGCTGCCCATACTCGGATGGTGGGAGGTAGGAGGGCCGGGGCGTCTTCCTAGACGGCCAGCCACCTGGGGGCTCTCCTCGGGTCCTCCCACCTGCTCCCACCCCGCAGCACGCCCAGCCATCTGGAGGGCCGGGGGCGGCTTTGCTCTCTCCCTTGCCGAGGCGGGGCCAGGGCCCCTCGACCCCTCGTAGGGGCTGCACAGCCAGCCGCACTAGCCTGGGGGTGGGCTGGGGGCGGCGAGGAACCGCCGAGGTCTGTCGAGGGGGCACACTCCCCTTGTGCTTCCTCCAGGGAAGCTGGCGGCCCTGCCTGGTGGCCCGGATGCCCGCCCAGGCGGAAGCGTGGACGCCCAGCCTGGTGTGCGCTGTGCCCACCTCCCCTCTGCCTCCCTGCGTGGGACCCCGGGCATCCGGCCTCGAGCTGGAGCAGCCAGAGCCTTCCAGAGGCCGCCCGGGGTGCTGGTCCAAGCAGGGCTGGGGTTCAAACCCCACCCCACCTGCGTCCCCGGGCACCAAACAGCCTCCCTGTCCTGTTCTTTCTTCCGCGTGTGTGATCGGGGCCAGAATGGCGGCCGTGTCCTGGCCCCAGGGGCCTGCGGACTCAGGGGGCCCTGCCTCGCGAGGTTGGTGCTCAGGGAGGCCCCCACTTGGGTGGACCCGTGCCCGGGAAGAGCCACACTCGGGGGGGCCCCGTGAAGCTTTGCCACAATGCTGCCCGATCCTGCTGTCCGATCCTGGCCCCAGGGGTGCTGCTGATCCTCCCCAGTCTACGGCTTGGAGAGGGGACGTGTGCACAACCTTTGCCTCCGGCCTCTCCTGGCTCCCAGCAAGTGGAGGCAGCTGGACTTTGCACAAAATTCCTGGAAGAACAAGAAATGGGGCAGAAGCAAAATCAGAGAGGTTAAGCATCCCCACAACTGACTTCTGAACCCTAATCACGGCCCACGCGCTCAGTATCCTACACCAGAGTCCAGCCTCTGGGCTGTGCCAGGCCAAGTGGAAGAACCTCTATCATGAATGTATGCACAGACCACCCCCAGCCCTGGCCCAGAGGGCTTAGGGGGCAGTCTGGCCATTGATGAGGATTGGGCTTGCCATTAATTAGCAAACGACCGGCATCTGAAAAAAAGCAGATTCATTCTGAGGCTGCATCATCAGGAGTATAGGGCCCAGAATGTGGGAGGACACAGTTCATTCTCCCTCCACTAGGATTACCTCTGGGGTATTTTATCTGGCCAGGGCACTGTTCTGTACCAGGCCTTGGTCACCCGGGAGAGCGTCTGGAGGGTTCAGGCTGCTGAGGGCTTGGCAACCCAGGCCAGCTGGCCACAGGCAGAGGAAGTATGAGCAGTCAGATAAAGTGAGGTGCGGCCCAGGAAGTGGCATAATCTGCAGTCCCCGAGAAGCAGATGGGTCTGGGTGGCTGCAGAGGACAGATCCCCGACGGGGAGGGACTCAGAGAACCTCCCAGGACTGGGCAGAATCTAAGTGTCCAATAACGTTCTTTTTTTTTTTTTTTTTTTTTAACTTTATTTATGTTGAGAAGAGAGAGAGAGAGAGCAGGGGAGGGGCAGAAAGACAGAGAGAGAATCCCAAGCGGGTTGTGCACTGTCGGCGCAGAGCCCGAGGTGGGGCTCCAACTCACAAACCAGGAGGCCGTGACCCAAGCTGAAACCGAGAGCCGGACACTTAACCGCCTGAGCCACCCAGGCGCCCCGAGTGCCGATAATTATCAGAAAGAGAGAAGGCGTCCCGGGAAGTCCATGCCCCTCGCTGGGGGTTCGAGCCCGGCTGCAGCCGGTCTCAGAAGGCAGTTTGGGGGGGGCAGGCCGGCCATTAGTGGGTAGAGCCACGCTTTGTGTCCTGTTCTCCGGGGCCCCCTGCTGCTGTGCCTCGGAGGAAACTTTCCTAAGAGTAAGTGTCCGCGGTCAACGGGGCAGCGGGCGTCAACCAGACGCGGGGCCCTGCAGGGTCTGGGGAAGTGGGTGCTGGGGGGGGGGCCGCCCGCCCCCCGGGCCGCCCCCCCCCCCCGCGGCTGCAGGACAGGGTTTGGGGCACCGCAGGGACCCCAGGGCTGCCCCTCCCAGCAGGGAGGGGGCGGCAGATCGCAGAGCTGAGCCAATGGGAAGGTCGGTACTGCAGGGAACTGCTGCCCACGAGTGACCTTTCGGATAAAGGCGCCCGGGGCTGGCACCCCGAAGTCCACAGGGGAGCACGCGTCGGCCTCCGCCTCGCGTGGGCACGCTGGCCTGCACCTGCCCCCCGGCGGCGAGGTGTCTTTCAGCTCCTGCCACCGGGAGGGTAGGGAGGAGGCCAGAAGTGACACTGAGCACCGCGAGCCCCCCCCCCCCCGGCGGGGGGGGACCTCACCTCGCCCGGCTTTCAGAGCCGCTGCCGTCCGCACGGGGCCGCGCCTGCCCCTGCCTCCTGGTCTGTGTGGCAGGCCGTCCCTCTCAGGGTCCCCTGGGCACCCGCCCCCACGTCACCCGCCTCACAGCTTCACAGGGTGCCGTGTGCCCCAGATTCGTGGGAGTACGCGCCCCCTGCTTTCCTGAGCAGGGGGTGGGGGGTGGGGCAGCTTCCTCTGGCCTCCTTGTTCCTGCAGGCGGCCGGGCCAGGTCCTGGGACCGCAGACCCTGTGCCGGCCCCACACCCCCACCCCCAAGAGCCCCTCACACCGGCCCTCTGGGGGAGCTGCTGGTGTGGCCGAGGTCGGGGCCGTGCTGGTGCTGGACAGGAATACACCCCTGCCTCAGGGTGGGTTCCAGAAGCCTCTCTGACATGGAGACTGGCACGCAGGGGTTTCTGTGGGAGTGCTCTTGGGAACCCCACCCAAAAAGGAGCTGGCCAAGCGGGATGGACGGAGGGAACAGCTTCCGTGCCCATGGGGAGCTCTGGAGTTGTGACCACACGGCTGACCATACAGGGCTACCGTGGGTGCACGGCCTCTGATGTGTCACTTGCTGAAGGTGATTCCGGAGGGGCCTCCGGCCGGCAAGACAAGCACCATGTGCCTCGGTCGTGACGCTCCCCCCCCCCCACCAGAGCACCCCACAGCGTCCACTACAGCCTCCCACCCTGTCAGGCCAGGCGCCCGGACCCCTGGGCCGCTATGGGTAGGGGCTCTTGGCCAAGGGTCTCTGGGTTCTCCAGCCCCGAACTCTGCAGGCTTCCCGCCCGGGGCCTCCCCACCCGGTGCCAATCATGGACGCACACAGGTAGGGGGCACCGCCCGGCCAAAACGGGCCTGCCTGAAGCCCCATGCAGGCCGTCCCCCCGCCCCGTGTGAGAGGCACCCTTGGTCCCCGTCCAGCCCTGAGCTCCAGGCTGCTGCACAGGGGCCCAGAGCTGTGGTCTGGGCGTCACAAACCGCAGGCAGAAGCTGCGGGCCCCAGGCACACATGGACCGGACAAGGGGGCCGCCTACCTGCCAGCTGCACGGAGATGGGACCACACCCACCCGAGAGAGTACAAAAGCGTAACCACAGCCTTGGGGCTGGAGAGTAGTGAGCGGCCCGGCCGGAGTCTCCGAGGCCCCAGCCGTCCCAGATGGGTGAGTCCACCCAGGCCTGGAAGCCCCCCCTGCTGTCGCCTCCATGAGCCCCGTCCTGCCCTTGCCACGCCGGCCGCCACAGAGGGCTCCCGGGAGCAGGGCCGTGGGCCTCGTGCATCCCACCTGAGGACCACGCCTGGGCTCCAAGCCCAAGCAGGCGTTAGGGCAAGGGCTGAGGGGGCAGTTAGCTTCCGTGGACGGACAGTGAGGGGGGCCATGGGGGGCAGAGGTGGACAGGAGGAGATATAGGTGGACATATATAGGAGATATAGGTGGACAGGAGGACAGATAGGAGATGGGGGGGAGTACAGGGGAAAGCTTGGGGGGGGAGGGGAAAAGAGGGCCCCAAGGAGGAAGTGGGTAGAGAGGAAGGGCAGAGTGGGGTGGCTGGGGTGAGGGAGACACACACACAGAAGTAGGGAGCCTAACAAAGACGGAGAAGAGTGGGGTCAGCCCAGGGCTCCCGATGCTCTCCTGATGGGCTGGGGGTGCTCCCTCTCTGCAGACCAGGACCCCCCGTGGCCCCTGCCACAGGAGTCTGGGGTCCCGCTCCATGGGTCACGCGTTGAGGGACCTCGGACAGGGCCACAGGCGGTGGGGGACGGCAACGTGGCAAAGGTCCCCGGCTGAGCTACAGCCTCTGGGGGAGAAGCCCAGAGAGAAGCCCCCGAGAGTCCCCTTCGTGGCAGGGGCCACCGTCCACATGTCCACATCTAGGAACGCAGACCCTCTGGGCGGGGCAGGGAAGGCGGCCCCCAGCGGAGCCCTTTGAGGTCAAGAGAGGGAGCCCCGGGGCTGGCGCAGGAAGTAGGGGAAGAGATGAGGAGGGAGGGGGGAGGGGGGCAGCGGGAGGGAGGTGAAGGAGGAGGGGCGAGGCCACAGCAGCCTTTCCCTCCCTGCCCGCAGGTGAAGCTGGGGCGCCCGCCGCCTTCCCCGTCCCCGGGAACGGGAACGGCTCCGAGGGCTGCAGCACGGAGAGGAGCGTCCTGTCCCAGGCGGCCACCAGCGTCTCCATCTATGTCATCTTGGCGCTGGGGCTGCCGCTCAACGGCCTGGGGCTCTGGGTGTTCTGGTGCCGCCTGCGCAGGTGGACCGAGACCCGCGTCTACATGGCCAACCTGGTGGCGGCCGACTGCCTGCTGCTGCTGAGCCTGCCGGGAGTCCTGCACACGCTGGGCCAGGCGGCGGGGGCCCGGGAGGGCGTCCTGTGCAGGGTCGTGCAGACCTTCTACTACGTCAACACCTACATGAGCACATGCCTCATCGCGGCCATCGCCACCGACCGCTACGCCGCCCTGCGCTTTCCGCTGCGGTCTCGCGCCTGGCGCAGCCCCCGCCAGGCCGCCCTCACCTGCCTGGCCCTCTGGCTGCTGGTGTTCGGGGCCGTGGCCCTGCCGG